CAGGCAAAGCAGATGTACACTGATCTTAGCACGGTAAAAAGTCCCTGAGGTCTGCTGAAACACATGGCTCAGGCCAGGCTCTGTCCCCAAAGCACACAGCTGGGGAGAGGGGACACTGTTTCTGAGTGTGGGTGGGTGCCAGCCCCTCATCCTTCTGTGTGGTCCCGCCTGACGCTGCACGGCTTCTGTGGGAGGGATGGAGGGACCCTTGGGATGTCCTCAGGACTCAGCAAGTGTCTTTTCAGAATTTACCACCCCGAGGGCTGGGTCAGGCCAAGCTGGAAAAGCCCCACAGCACCCAGGGTCCTGCTGCTCAGCCTGGCAGAGGAGCCCGGACTACCACAGCGCCTTGGCGTGGGAACCAGGGGCTGCTGCACCTCCAGGAGCTGTTTGCCTGCAGGGCCCTGCCCCAGCACCTGGAGATGAGGGCTCTCTGCAGGGTAGGTGCTTTTGATCACCTGGTACTTTTTGCACAACAAAGCCATGGGCTGCTCCTTTATCTTGTTCTCCCTCCCCTACTATCAATAGTTTTTCTGGTCTGACTGGATTTCCCTGCTGCCACATCCCCAACAAAGGGAGAAGGTCCACACAGTAGAGGTGAAGAGGGTGAACCCCCCCCAACCCTGCACAATGAGAGCCTGCCCCAAACCTCTCTCCACTTGGAGAGCATAAATAGCATTTGATGAGTCACCAGCACAGAGGTTTTTGTGCTGACCTGGAGCTGGCACACTGCTCTGCTATACTCCCATGGCTGACCTCCACGGCTGCTTGAGAGCGATGTATCTGGAGGGAGCACGTGCTCCATGCTGGGAAGCCAGGCACTGGTGTCCAGCTCTGGCTGCTCTGTGCCTCGGTTTCTTGCCTGGGAACAAGAGAGACAGGACTGACTATCTGGATGTGCCATCATGGCACCAAACTGCCTTGGAGCCATGTGTGCCACATGCAGTGGCTCCCTCTGGCACCTGGTTTGGTTCGGTCTTGGCTGACAGCACTATCAGGCACCCCAAGCCCGAGGACACCCCTTTCGGGCTCTGGAGAGCAGGGTTGGGCTGACCAGGAGCGGGGCAAAGATGGGTGCTGCACTGCCTGCATGTCCCTGAGGCGCATCCCCGTTCGGCCCCAGCCCCAGCTGAGGAGCTACTTGCCTGCGAACTTGCAGCAGGACATGGTCCCTGCTTCTGCTAGACGAGGGTGAGCAGTCACACCGAAAAAAGGGAAGAGGCTGAAACCAAACAAAAGATTCAAAGCCCAGCCAGGAAGGTGACACAGCAAGAGTTGCTGGGTGACAAAGGGATTTGTTTCCCGCAACCTGGCCGTTAATATTTAGAGGCCGTTAACTCATGGGGAGCCCCAGGAGGGGTCGGGTACAGCTGTTATAATGGCTCACGGTACTCACCCAACAGTGTCCCAAAAAAGCAGGGCTGACACAACAGCAGCTTCTGGACACGCTGAAGCACAGTTGCGTATTTCTTCCCCAAATCAGACATCTCTGGTTAAATCCAGCAGACCCTGCAGCTCCTGGCTGGCACTGGGTATCGTGTCTGTGCACGAGCAGTTGTCGCTGCGTCTGAAGCATCTCTCAGGATGTCAGACCCAATCCTGCCGTCAGTCCCTTCGCTTGTGCTGCCTTCAGCACCATGCCACGTTGCACAAGCCGAGGCTGCACCTTTGCACGCACTTTGCAGCTGCAAGAGTGGCACTCACAGGTACGAAACCTCTTCTATGCATGTCCCTACATACCCCAAGGAGCTCCTGGACCATAAATCCTACGGGCAGGCAGGTGTTATAAAGCAAAGGACATGGGGGGACAAAAGTCTGATGCAGTGTGGGCAGCTGCAGGGCTGTGCACAGCACTCAGACATGACCTGTGCCAAACCTGGATGTGCCAGACATGGCACGATGCTGACAGGTCCCTGAACAGGAGCTGCCACCTGGTGGCACTGGGACAATCCTGCTGGCCTGCCAGCCACAAGGACCTGGATGGGGACATTTGGGGTGGCCCTGCACCATGGCACTGGCTCTGTTCAGCCCCACTGAGGAGGCTGGGGCTACTCCAGCACAGCCCGGCATTGCTGCTTTCACCCTGGGACACATCCAGCTGGGAGACTCACCCAAGCCCTGAATCCTGGCTCTTGCCAAGGGTGCTCCAGCTGTAGGTGCCCTCTACAGGTTTTGCCACACTAGTTTGGGCCAGGCTAGAAGTTGGCTGGGAAATGCCACCTCCAAACCCCTTCGACTTCCCGCGGCCGCTCCGGACCCAATGGCACAAGGTCAGGTGGCTCTGGTGAGATGCAGCTGGACTTGTGCTCTGAGGGATGTGTCCCCGAGTGCACCACACCTCAGCCAGCCCACAGTGGGATGGGATGCCTTGGTGCAAGGGGGACGCGAGCAAAGTAAGGAGGTGAAGAGGACCGCCAGGTCAGAGCTGCTTTTCTGGGGCCAAAGAGGATGTGGTTTTGAGCTTGCTGGGAAACTCCAGACCACAACAAACACCCTCCTCCAGCTAAGATTATCCCTGATAACATCAAACTATGCCAGCTGTGTTGAGAGGAAAGCCTGGAGGGAATAGGCTCTGCTGGTGGGGAAAGCCTCCTGGGAAGTTTCCTTCCCTTGACTCTGGGAAGCCTCCTTCCCTTGACTCTGGGAAGCCTCAGCAGCACAGAGGAGCTGGGCGCTGGGGGAAAGCGCCGGCTGGGGGCTGCCAGCCCATCCCCAAAGCCGCTTTGCCCACCATGATCCCCTTGCTTGGCGGGACTCAGCCCCAACATGCTTCCCAGAGGAGAGGGAAACAAAAGAGGAGGAGGGGGAAGGGAAGGGCCTAAGAGAAACTTCTTCCAACTTCTTGGGAAGAGAAAAGCCCTATTCAGGCAGAAAGAATACCCATGCAGAACTGGTCACTAAGCAACCCATAGCAATTTGGTATGGCCCGACGCACAGGCAAGGAACAAAGCTGCCTTACTGCCCACCAAGAGCCCAGCGGGGTCCAGAGCTCCTGGGTGCAGGAGTTTGTCCTCAGTCGGTTCTGGAGGGTGACTAGCCTCCATCAGGCTCCCTCTTCACAGGGAGGCCGTTTGCTGCTCAGGAAGTATTTCTGATCTGCTTCAAAGCCCATGGCTCTCCATGGGTCTGTTGTTCACATGAGGCTACATACATCATTCCCAACAGAGGCACAGTGCATTTTGGCTAACTCCCTGCTCCTACAGACACTACAGGGCTTGTACGGGCAGAGCAGCCAAACGCAGGCTACACCCTCTCCCAGGCAAGCTGAATTCTTCATTTAGATTACCAATGCCGGGGAGGGGGGGGGGGGTTGTCCTTTGCCAACAAGCCTAGTGAGACATGAGAAACTGCTTGGCCTCTCTGCAGCACAAGGAAAAAAGGGACAAAGGAAATCAGGCCTGACAAACCCTGCTGACAATCCATGCTGAAATGCCTCCCTCGGAGTCCAGGGGATCCCTGGAGATGCTGCTGCCCCCAACAGAAATGCTGCACAAAAGGAAAACTGCTCGCAGCCACAGCAGGTCACTGGGACCAGTCAAGTGTGCAGCTGGGCCCCAATCCAGAGCCTGATGAGCCCGGGGAGATGCACTGGACCTGCTTGGACACTGGAAGTGGCTTTTTGCCGGCATGGTGTCATGGGGGAAACATCCAGCCCTTCATGCATTTGTCTCCAGCATCTGATATACTTGGAGAGCAGTTGCTGGGACAAGGACAAACTTGCCAGGTGTTTACCCACTTCCTCAGAAAGGTGTCTGGCCAGCTCCGATCCCCACCCTGCAACAGCAACGTGAACAAGTGGCGGATGCTAAGGTATGTCCATGCAAGCTGCAGATCCCCTGCAGGTGGAGGTATTCTCATTAACACTCAGTCCTGCCCTTTCCTGGCTTCATCATCCGCTATCTCAGCCTTTAAGCAATGGCTTTGGACGCACACTAAATAACCAGAACCCACAGGGCTGCAGTGAAAAATCAGCTTGGACAAAGTAGTGCCATTTATTTTGCTCGTAAAACCCCTTTCAGAAGGCCAATACACTGCAGGCTTGCTCGCTGCAACTGGGCTCCTCTCAGCACAATGGAGGACAGGCACTCCAGCAGCAGCAAGGATGGATAGCATCCATCCCTGGACTTGGAGAGCTCCTACCTCCCCTGGCAAGAGGACAAACACAGCATTTCTGGCACAGCTAGGAGCCAAGCGTGCCAAAGCCCAGCTAAGCAAGGACTTGGCACACCAGGACCATGACACAACATTCACATGTCCTGCAGCCAGGGGAGCCTCACAGCAAGGTGCACCAAGTACGGCATGCCTGCTGCACCATGGAGAGCATTTACCTGCCTTTGAGCTGATGGTGGTGCTCCTTCGGAGGTGGCATGACAAGGCCACAACGGGAAGCAGAAGTGAGACTCATCCTCTCTCAAATTAGTCATGTGGAAGTGTCCAGTCCATCCTTTTTATCTGCAGGGAGCAGAGTGAGAGCAGCACCTCCAGGAATTAAGTCAACTTGAGACAGGATCTGTGTGTCCACCTCCATCCATTGGCTACCAAGGGAGCTTGCTTAGACAATACACCCAACTCCAAGACGGGCACCACTAATGGAGAAGATCCACCCAGAATAGAAGTAGTCCCAGCCTGAAGAGCATCTCCTTGCAAAGACAGAAAAGCCCGATGAAGATGCAGGACACTGGACCATATGCTACCCAGATCCATCCTGGATTCTTCTCTCCCAATACCAGTGCCTACAACCATCAGCAACAGTCTTGCAGCACAGCCAGATGGGACTTCTTTGTTGATGTGCTGCATTTTCTTGCTGTTCCTTTCCTGGTCTGTAGCATCTGGATATTTGTAGAAACGTTGTGAGAGAACAGAGGTGCTGAAGGAGGGAAATAGCTTTGTGCGAAAGAAATGTGCCTGGAAGTCCAGAGCTAACCTTGGCTCTGGTGGTCCTCTTCCATTCCCAGTGAGGTGTCGCTGAGATTTCCCAGGCAATGGCCCTCACCACACAATCAGGATCTCTGGTAAAGCTTAATGATATTCTCATCGTGAAGCTTTTTCCACACCTGCTTCTCCAGGTTGAAGTCATGGTTAGTGTAGAAAATCAGACGGTTCCAGTTCTTGTCATAGTAGTGATCCCAGTACTTCTCATGACCCTCCGTGATGTAGCCATAGGCACTCACCTGGGAAAGATGGAGGGCTCACTGGGGAGAGGTACCAAGGATGGAGAGAGCTAAGTGAAATACAGGACACAGTTCCCAAATGGGGAGGGAGCACAGGACTGGGATGCCAGTCAGGGCTCCTCCGGGTGACGCTGCATGGGGGTCCAAAAGGACCAGACTATGAACACTGGCTCCAGAGAGCCTGCTGTCCTCTTACTGCCTCCCTGGGAGGCAGGATCGCTCGCAGGCCACAGCAGGCTTCACAATCTCTATGTGAACTATTTTGGGGCTGTTTCTCTTGTCTTCAATCTGTTCCTCCACAGCTGACAAGAACCCATATACCCTCAAGGCAGATGGTAGGCAGGGTTGGAGCCACTCCTGCTCTTCCTTGTTAGCCTATCCCCCCTTCCAGACAGTGCTGTGTGCAAGAATCATCATGCCCTTACCAAGTCACAGAGATGGAGGGCAGTTAGCAGCAGGAAGGCCCCCGTTGTGGGTCTGTACAGCCGCCAGTAAGGCTTTTCCAAACTTTTAGATTTTAAAAACCTGCAGCAGGAGAGAAGAAAGGACAGAGCAGTTGCTGGTTGTGGTGGTTCAAGCTAGGCACACTTTGTCCCCCTGTGGCCTATGTGGCATCTTTCCTCCTTGCAGCAGTTTCTGGCCATACAAGGCATTTCAGACAAGCCATTAGTATGCCAACATGTGTGGGTCCTGTTGTGTGCACAGTAAAGCACAAGGCCAGCCCAGAATGCTTCATCACCTGCACTGCAACCTAAGCCCAGCTCTGCCCCAGCTTTATGGAAGTGGTAGGTCCTGAGGCAGTGGGGTAAAGAAGGGGTGGGTTAAAGGATCTAGTATGTTAAAGCCCACTCTTAAATCTGTCCTTTGCCTTGCAGTGCAGAAATGGCTTCGAAGCCTCCTGGTACATCCTGCTTCCCATCCACATTCAGGAGTGAGACAAGACACAGGAAAGGTGCAGAGGAGGGTCACAAAACCCGCTAGGAGCCACAGTGTTTTACGCCAGCAGTTGTTAGGAAGGTAGGAGTCCACACCAGGAAAAAATAGCATTCAAGGCCTCTTGGCCTTGGAAAGGACCCAAGTCAGAGGGGAGACGGCAGAAGGAGCAGAGTGGTGCAAGCCATCTGGCACTGCATTTACCTTCTCTGAGAGAAGGCATAACTCAGCTCTCAAGGAGACCGAAGGGTAAATGAAGCCAAAGCGGGGCACAACAGGAGCTCTTCTTCCTACATCTCTTGGTCACGTGTGGCCCACGATTGGCAAATCTTACAGTGACAGTGTCCAGCAGGCTTGTGAAAAGGATTAGAGAGGCAAAGAAGAGCAGCCAGGCCAGGCAAATGGGATACTGAAGAAGTGCCTATTACCATGTTTAAGGGCACAACCAACCTCCTGAGTCAACAAGGGATCTCAGGAGAGAAGGGCTGTTACAGAGCCTTCCTCCAAGGTGCTAAGCAATGGGGAACGTGAAAGGTTGGTCCTGAACTAGATCAACTCTTCTGGCACTTTAGCAACACTCTTCCCACATCTAAAGTTGCCATTTGCCCAGGACCTCTTTTGGATGCAGAAAGCCAAACTGTCCAATGGCTGCTACTTCTCCAGCTCACAGATGCTGGACATCTACCCACCACTAACATCCCACTGCAGCATCACAGAGAATTTTAACTGACTGCACACTGGTGAAGCTTACCCCCAATCTGCTGGTGTGGCTAAACTGCAGTTACAAGGGAGTGAGCTGGGACGAGAGAGCCCAGAGATAGAGAGAGATGCTGCTGGCCAGAAAAAATAAACCTGTTAGAGTACATAACCTCCAGCTCACCTGTTTTTCATGTATCTGAGGAAATCAGGGTGAACCACCAGGTATTTGTCCATCGTGAAATCTTCATCGAATCTCTCCCGGGGCCTCTGCCTAAGGACAGGAATGGGGAGACTCAGGACAAACTCATATATTTCATCACAGCTGGAAAGGATCAGCCCTGATACACTTGGTGATAAGAGAAGAACCACAAACATTGTTAAGTTATTCTGCAACATTGCCCACATTATGACAAAGCGTCCATAACCTATGTGCATTGCAGAGATCAGGGAGGAGAGGCAACAACAGGAGACTGGAATATCAAAAGCATGTGTGTGTATAGACAAGAATTGGTGAAACCAGGCCTTCATCCATGAGTAGGCCACCATGTACAGACACCAGACGAGACAACAGCATGTGTTCATCCCAGCGGACCACAAAGCTTTCTCCAACCTCTGGCCACGCATTATTGAAATTGGCTATTTCTGGGAAGGAGGTGTATTAGTTACAGTAGGGCTCAGAGCTGTGGAGGAAATAAGATATTTCTCCAGAGAAATCTGCCAGGGGAGGGAGGATTTAACCTGGCTTTACCCTGGCCTGCACCTCAGCAGGGCTGAGCCCTGTGGAGAGAAAAAGGGCACAACAGAGAGCTCCACAGTGAAGGGTGTAGAGCTGGGGCCAGTTTGTTTTACCCGTAGTGGTTCAAGAATCCTTTTCTGATGTTCTTGTTCAACAGAAGAGCCTTCAGCCACTCATAGTCTCTAGCTCCCTCCAGGAAGTGAATGTATCTGACATGCTAAGAAAACAAGTGAGCATTAATGAACAGCACAAGAGAGATACATCCTTTAAAAATAAAAAGCAAGCAGGCATCTAAGTTCCCTGAGTTTCTCGGACACACATCTTTGGTCTGCAGCTTTTAGCTATCCCACAGAAGCAGAATGGAGATAGCATCTGATGTGCAGCTACTTCTACATGCCAAAATGCTGGGGTAGGACTGACACAGCTTGCCACTGCAAATACTCACTCCAAGCCAAGCCAATGCAGGTTCCCTCACCAAGGGTAATGCTAAAGTGTTAGCTCAGCCCCTTTGCTCCTCATGCATGGTAAGATCAGAACTGAAGGCCACAGACTAAAAGCATCCCATAAAGGTGTGCATGCATACAGCATGGACCTGACTTACTTTTCCCTGTGGGATGTTGCTGAACCCTCTGTGTCCCAAGATCTGGAGAGAGGACACCAGGGAGTAGGCTGTGAATCCATAAAAGGAGGTTTTTGTTCCCACATCTTTTTCGTAACCTTTGATTAGAGCCCCACTCACCCTGGCCAAGGAAATCAAACAGAGGAGCAGAGTTAGCAGGTGACCAGTGAAAACCCTCACATCCATGTTTATAACAGGAAAAAGACAGTGTTATTCTGGAGGAAGGGATGATTAGGCCCATTTTGAGCTACACCTCTTGATCTGCAGGAGAGCCCCTGCTTTGGAAATGGCTCTTTATGGCTCATCTGTGAACCCAGGCTCTTCCTGTGTGTTTAGGAACTTTCCAATTCCTTTTTGGTTTTTCATCTCCTCCTGCCATCAGTCATTTTGGCACTTGGCAGTTAGTGCAATACAAGAAGAGGCGAAGTTATCCAGCCATAATTACCTGCTATCCAGCATAAGCTAGCTGTGTATCTTCTAAGAAGGAAGCCTGCCTTACCGGAAGACGTAGTCATGGGAGTCAATCTCCTGGCCCATCCCAGAGTTATTCAATATTCCTCCATTCCCCACGACAGCACAGCTGATGCATGTCGGCCTGCTACTGTTGCTGTTGGCCAGGAGCAGCTGCTGGTGGGAATTTGGGGGCAGCAGGGACATGACCTCCTCCACCACTGTGAAGCAAACATGGTGGAGAGTTAGCATCAAGAGCCTTTGGGATGGACACAATGAAAGCACCACAGTTTCCACCACAAGATCCACCTAGCCTGATGCCTTTGACAGGGAGATGCTGCAAACCTCCAGCTACTTGGCATAAGGTTCCCAGAGTTTGATGGTCCCATCCTGACATGCCCTGAGGGACTCACATGAATAATTCAGCTCCATGAAGCCATACGGAGGTGCAAAATGCTCAAGGCGGTCCCACTCACTGTCACTGAAGTATCTCTTGTCTGTGAAGAGCATGATGTTGGGCAGGAAAAGATCTCGCAGCCAGTCAGACTTGGCAGCTTTGGCCTTCACTGATTCAGGGCAGGTCTTGAAAAACAAAAAGAAAACAATAAGGACTGATTAGCAGGGAGCTGATAAACCTGACTGAGTGCCAGTGCTTGTCTGCCTGTGTGTGAGAGTATCAGAAAGAAGCATAGAAACTCCAGTGGTACATCATCCATTTCCCTCAGTGTCCCCATCACTATGAACATGAGGCATAATTTCAGCACTACATCAATAACTAGCTGGTGGAAAGTCACCTACAAGGAAGCCAGAGTGAATCCAGATCTCTGAGACTTTCCTCTTCAGAACAACAGGCCCGCAATGCTCACATGTTTTACTGGCTTTGGGCCTCATTAACTGATACTATCTGTAATAGGTCTAACCTAGACATACCAAATAAGGCTAGCAGTCCCTTTTGGCAAGGCACCTTAAGGTCCTGGCCTCAGAGTGCACGTGAGCAAACACAGTGAAGAAGATGAGAGATCAAATCACTATTATCACCCCCTTGTTCAACAACAACTTGTTCAACATCATAAATGAATCACACAGAAGCATGCAACTGAGAAGGAAATCCAAGACAGCTTATCTTCTATAACAACAGGGCTATCATTGCAGCTGGCCAGAGTTAGGCCACATGTGCAGATGGAGAGCAAACTCCACTGCGCTGGATTTTCTGCTGAGTCAGTTTGGGCTCTACTTTCTTAGACATCTTCCCCAAATACCTACTGCAACACCTACTGAAAGTCAAAACAGGAGACCAAGTGGACCGCATGGCTAGCTCAAATCCCCAGCAGTGACCAGACTGCATTGCCAAAGCCTTGCTGCGTGCTCCACAGCTGAGCTGGGCTTTCTGCTATGGGTGAGGATGACAATGCAGTCACAGCCCGAGGAGACAGCCTTCACTCTGCCTATCACAACAGGAGTGCAGCAACAAGAACATTGTGGAGGGCTTCATGTGGGCATCATTTGACTTGCAGCATGTTTCATGTCCAGAGACAGTACTGCTCAAGCTGTACTTTGTACTGTCCAAGGCTTGGTACTTCTTGTGCCTCCACAGCTAGACTGGATCAAAACTAGAGGAACTAGAGAAAAGTCTGATCATGTAGGAAATGAAGGAGGTGGGAGTGCTTCTAGTCACTCCCCCTCTCTGCAGAATTAGAGATCAGGATTCGAAGTGAGACCCAACATGTGACATCTGGATCCACATCTTCACTAACAACCTACCTGTGTGCATTTTCTCCTCTTTTCCATACCAAGGAAGGGTTTTCCCCTCTGTCTCAGCTGTTCTGCACACCCAGATCCTTTGCAGCCTCAGTTACAGTGGAGGATGTTTCCAGCTTCCTGCTGTGACTGTTGTCTTGCATTTCTCTGCCAGCTCCTGCTCTGCACTCCTGAGATGGCTGCACATGCTCTGCAGCTCATCAGATGAGAAGACAGGAGCATGTGACAGTCAACAAGCAGGATCCTGGTGACCTAACCCCACTGTGTCTACAGGCAGTAACATTGGGCAGGAGGGGTGAGGTACTGTCTCATGTGGCATATGCACTCTTAGCCATATAATTTGCCCACTCCCATTTGTATTTGGCGTGCCCAGAGACCATGGGGAGCCCAGGAAGAAGGATGCACATCCTGCACCACAGACTGCATCATCTGCCAGGCCCTTCTGCTGTGACTCATTAAGGCTGGTCCAGTGCACGAGCTGAAGCATTTAACAGCCAAGTTCCACATTTAATAGGCACAGATCTTTGGATAACAGACGTATCTTTGGGGCCAGCTGCTCCTCTCAAGTGACTCAATGCCACACTGAAGAGCACATCCCATCAGCAAAAGAATGGCTCGCACTGCCAAAAGGGGCAATGGGGAACAACATCAAAATACCACGAGGGAGAGAGAGCTCAGAAATAAAACATCAAAACAATAGAACTCCTCCTAGGGTATTTTTATTGGCCCAGTTCATCTACCTCTGCTCTCTGCACATCTCCCAAGGCATCCTGGGCACCCTGGGGTTGGGGAATGGGATTAAATTTTTCAAGAGTAGCCCCTGCTCCACCGGGAGAAGTCTGAGCAGAACAACATGGTGCCTGCAGCTCTGACAGTCCGCTGGAGCAACACCTACATTCCCCTAATGCCACCAAAATGTCACATGGCAATGGTGGAAGATTGTGGCACTGAGATTTTAAATAGGCAAATGGCTCATCTAAGACCAACGAGCTAGAACAGGCACTCCTGTCCTCTGCTCACGTGCCTACACCCTCCCTCCTCCCTGAGCACATGAGCAGTGTGTAAAGGCCACTTATACCCATGCATAAAGACCTTTCTCACTCTAGAGAGGGTTACCCACCTGTCCAAGCCTTCCAGCAACAGGGGTGCCAGGAAAACTGCTCTGGGTAAGCTTTACAAAGAGTTACCAGCATAAGATGGCAGACAGAGACAGTATTGTGCACCATAACATGCCCCATGTGCTTGCTGAGAACTTTGCTATAGTTTACAACTTCCCTAAAGGCCCTGTTCCTGGACCTGAGTAATGATGAGATGCTTAAATTTCATTTTAAGTTAGTTCCAAACCCTCATAGCTACAAAGGAAAGGCTAAAAATATGGTCAGAACAAGAGTTCAGTGCAAAACAGAAAAGAAAAAGGCTTTCAATTCCATGGCTGTTAAGACAACCTGATGGGGGGCACCAGGCTTACTGTTTTGGAAGATCACATCAGTAATATGACCTACACAGGCAGAAGTGATCAGGAGAACTAATGAAAAAAACAACACTCCCAACAAAAAGGATCTGTAAGAAAACTTTGAAGCTGTAGCTGTGCAAGTGCTACTGCCTTGACAGGTACAACTGTATCATCTGAGATTCTCATCTTCACCTCTACCAAAATATTCTACTTGTGCTGACCAGGCCTACAGTTACTCCTATTTAACAAAGAGGAACAAAGCAAGGCTTGTTGAATGCCACATCTGTTATGAATTATTTGCTCTGCTGTGACGATGGTTCAATGCATAGCAAGAAAATCCTAGATAGCAACCCAACATGGTGGGACCATCTGAGTCATGGAGCTCTGAATGGGTAAAGAATCTGCTTGCTTACTATGGGAGTCTACATACAGAGTGGAAAAGGTGAATTGGAAACACCTGGGAAAGACTCTCCTACTGTTGATAATAAACCACAAGGACAGTAAAAAAAGTTACTTTTTAACCATCGTTTCTCCAGTGGGGCACATACACAGTTGAATTTTTGCCAATATTGACAGAAAATCATAAAATGTGAATGGTCTCCACCCTACTGTCCCCAAAGCAGGCAGGTACATGCTTATCAGTCTTATCTAATCCTTTTTCTTTGACCTTATTTTGACTTTAATACAAGCAACTAACAAAGCCTCCATTCCTGTGCACTGAGACCCTCCTCACCATCACTGCCAGTGTCATTCTTCACAGCCTAGCACAGCACAAGTGTCACTGCTGCCCCACTGCTGTCAAAGCTTTTGACTTGCTTTGATACAGATGTGCTTGGGTGAACAGGCACACGGAGGCATTCCTTTTCCTGTTCCCTCACCAAGACACTGCTTGTTTTCTTTAGCTGGGCTGCATAAAACAAAGATCAAGGCAATCTGGGGTTTGTAAACCTGAGTCTTCATAGGAATGCAGATGTTCCATTTCCCAAGAGACTGGGTGAGAAATGGGATGCCTGTATGAAGACTGCCATGTAGTGCCAGACACCTAATGCCTGCCTGTAGGCATCACAAGACTAGGTGTGACTCAACTTACCTCAGGGTGCCATGTCACAGGGAACACATGTGCTGCATTGTGTGCCTAAGTCCCCTATGCAATATATCAAGGCACCTAAGAGTGGGACCACCTTGTAGCACATCTAGGTGAGATATTTTCCCCAGCTTCTGATGCACCTGAGCTCCAGAAAGGGCTGCTTGGGCTGACTTTCAAAGGAACCCAAGGAAATGCGTGCAATTGCAGTTAAATTCCAATACTGGAGCATGGTGGAGGACTGGCCAGGCTAATTGAGTCGTACATATAGGTCTCCCTCGCTGGGTCCCAGCAGCATCTGCGTATACCAGTGAGTTGACCTACCAGCTTGGAGATCACCCTCAACTGTGAAGGGCACATACACCCAGGGGACAGCAGACAAGGAGGTCAACAGGGAGGCATCATTCTTGGTGAACACACACAGCCATCACACCTACCAATGGTGGAGATGAGTTGTCCAGCAGGTACTTGTCCTCGAAATCCCAGTGCGGCTCAGACTTGAAGTCAGCAGCCCTCAGCTGCTTCTTTTCTGTCACTGCAGCAGCCTGAGGAAGAGGTCTTACAGTTTTCACTGATGCAGGAGGCTCTTTTGGCTTTGTTTGGTCTTTGCATATGTTGTTTTCACAAGCTCCCTTCATCCCAAAGGACGGTTTCACTGTTGCCTTCTCCTTGGCTCCCTCCACTCTGGGAAGTGGTTTCACTATTGTCTTTTCCTTTGCTTCTTCCACCCCTGGGGCTGGTCTCACTGTTGTTTTCTCCTTGTTTCCCTGCACCCTAAGGGGTGTTTTCACTGTTGTCTTCTTGACTCCCTCCAATGTGGGGCGTGGTTTCACAGTCATGTTCTCCTTGGCTTCCTCCAGCCTGGCAACTGGTTTCATCATTTTCTCCTGCTCCTCCTTTCCTTCCCATCTTGGTGTCTTCTCAACCATATCTTGTTTGAGCGTTGTGACGTCTCTCCCCAAAATCACCTTTAAAAAGCTCCTTGACTTCCCATTATCAGAATAGTCTAAACCCTGTTGCTCTTGGGTCTCCACTTGTAGCATATCTGGGGCACGTTGGAAAATGCTCAATTGCCTGAATACAATCAAAGGAAAAGCAGAACCATCACACACACCTTCAACTTAACACTGAACACCTTCCAGCCCATTTCTAGTGCTCTTGACTCTGAGCCCCTCTCTGTGTTTCAGAGCAACCACTGCATACAACCACCACACTCAGAGGACTTGCCTTGGCAACTGCCACTTGAATTTCTGCACGATGCTGTATGAATTCAATTTCATCTTCAACTTTGCCACCAAAGTGTTATTCAACTTCCCACACCATCCTGGCCTGAATACCGCTTATCTCCCCACTAAGCAAATTCTAGAGGCTACACACTCCTCTTGAGCACTTGGCTCATGAAACATCCGCACCGGCAGTAACTGCAAACCAGCACAGAACAATTTTGCTCTGCATTGGACAGACAACTGGCAACGTCCCCAGAGCACTGCAGGACTGTTTTGGAGATCCCGAGCTCAGGACAGGGCACACACCATGAAGGCAGCCATCTCGCTCTCTTTGCCGGTAGAGCCAAGTGCTTCAGGAACAGAGCATGAAGATCTTCCAGAATTCAGTAAGAGAAGTCTAATAAGAAGTGAAACTCACTCCTTTACCATACATCACTTCTTGAGCATTTGGGGCGACAAGGCGCTTTTTCCTCTCCTCCTCACCCTTAGCCAGCTAATGCAATGGCATCACACAGCACTCGCCAGGCACACGTGTCTTAAGACAGGCACTTTGAAGCTATTAAAATACACTCTGAAGCTTAAAAATGTAAAATCTCTGCATTTTCAACAATCACCTCTAATATTGCAGCTGCCCTGTTCCCCAGTTCAGAGGCATAGGCAGGTACAAGGATATCGTAGGATACAGCTGCCAACAGACTGGGCTGAAACCCAGCAAAAAAATCAAGGCCGAAGTGGTGGGGTTTTGTCCCAAACATTCATTCTTATCTGCACATGGCTGGAGGGTGGAACAGGAAAAAGGAAGGTGAAAAATTTCTGCAGCTGAACTTTTATGTACAGCAAAGCTTTTCAGAATAAACCAGCATAGTTGTGGCAGTCTGATTTCACACTCACGTTCACCCTTTGCATGATGCATTTGTTTCAGAGAGCTGTGGATTGCTTCCGAGGTGATAAATGGGGGGAAAGAGCACCTCTGCAGATAGCAGGCTGTAGATAACAGTTCAATTGCTGCTGAAGCTTCAGAGTGGTATGGCATTCATTAAAGTGATTAGGAAATTATCAACTAAGAGGCTTTTAAAAATAATTTTGTATCAGATAAATACTTGAACCTTTCCAATGCTATTTCTGAGAAAAAGAGGTTGTGGTAAATAGCCTATCAGCTCTTCCTCTACCTCCCCTCATAATCACTAGCCAGTTTCAACCAAATAGGCAGCAGTTGCTTTCTATCATAGTGCTTCATGTATAAACTTGTAACTGTTTACTGCCTAATAAGAGGAAAGATTTTATATATACGCCCTAAGTAAAGAGAAATTTGGTAAGGTAGCTCAGGCAGATCCTAAATCCCTGGATGACTTTCTGTGGTATTTTTAAGATGATGTTTAAAATTTTGAAATTAAAGGGCAGAGAACAAATGAAACAGGAGAGTATGACAAACCACCCCCAACCCCAGACTTTCTGTATGTGCTGTCTTGCAGGGCACAGATTCCATCCCAGCTCTATTACACTTTAATTTCAAATACTGTGCCAAAGATAGAGAGACCAAAACGTAAACCCAGAGCCCTTCACATCCAAAACCTTGCTCCCTGCAGTCAGACCCACATGGCCAGGCACTCATGCCTACACAGGACCCTGCTCTCCTGACCAGCATTTTAAACCCAGACAAATGGTCAAAGCAGCTCATCAAATTTCAGGCCCCAGCGTCCAGCTGGCAAACAACTGCAGAAGCTCAATGACATTTACTGTCATTTTCCTCTCCATTTACAAAGCCCTAGGACAAATAGAGGATAAAGCCATGTAAATGCTGCTTTGTGTATTTTATGTTACATATAAAGGTATGGAAATAGAAGTGACACACAGATAACCACATACAGCTCGCGACTAGTTGTGTTTTACTTAAGTTGCAAAAATATGGACATTTCCATTATCTGAAACTATGGCAGAATGAAATGGCTTCAAGCAGCTGGGCATGGAGTTCTTGTCCCTGCTCTGCCACTGATGGGCTCTGTGATCAAGGACAACTCACTTCACTTCTCTACACCTCCTCCTTCTCTCCTTTCCCCTGCCTTCCTTGTGCAGATTCCAACCTCTCCAAATCGATAGCTGTCCTCCAGGTGTGGTCTCAAGTCGCTGGAGCTGAACTAAACTCATGCCACCTCCAGAAGAGATGTAGGTGTTCCCAGCCTCACCCCTCCTGCCTGCCCCCACAGTATCAGCCCTGAGAGGTCCAGCTGAAAACCAACCCCCACGAAGACAAGCCAGACATGCTCACCAGGAGAGCTGGGACCATATGAGGGCTGGTGGGGAGGCTGGGGAGTGATGCTTCCTATACACAGCACAGGGCACTAACATGTAAGCAAGCCACGCTTTTAGTAGGAAAGGCTCAGGTATCTGCTGTGCTCCTGCAAGGAACAGTGCTTCCTGCCAACAATGCTGGAGACGTTTTACCGCAGTCATCCTCCACACCCATTCTTGTAGGATTTACTTGACCATTGATATAAAAAATAATATATATATTGATCATGTCAGCATGACATTGGTCTCCCAGTATGCAGCATATTTGTATTAGGAATCAGATATTGAACTTGCTATAAATTCAAAGGTATCCCACCAAATTTAATGTTCAGCAATGAAATCTGGACTAGGTCTGAATGACCTTCTGGGAGCCACCAGGAAAAGCAAATACTATGTAGTGCCAAAGTATGAAATCAGGTAGCATTAGTAAAGCAAAAACAGCTTTCTTAAACAGCTACGCAAGTAAACACTGGAAATTAGTGAACCAGCAGAAGCAAGTTTTTGACTGTGGATCTTCCAAAACCGTGCTCTGATTCTACACAACATGGTCTGCTAAAACAAAGTGGTCATCTCAGTCAGATCAAAAGTACAAGTTTCAGGGTAAAAAGACACAGAGACAGAGAAAGAAAGTGAGCACAAGCACTCTATCCAGACAGTGCATATCACAAGGAAGCAGGTCTCTTACCTGAAAATCCTTGTCTTTGACAAGCCAAACAAGGAGCTGAAATTAGCAATGAAGATGCACAAGTGTGTTAAAACAATGAGCCAAATGAGGGCTCTGGGAATTTTAGGAACCCTTTTCCTGAAAAACCACATGGCGAGATGCCTGAAAGCGACAGAGGCTCTGCTGCTGCTGCCCAGATGTGCTCGCTAGGCAGTGCTTTCCAAAGGTGTGTTGAATGAGTGGGCTGGTCTTCTCTCTGGATTTCACTACAAGAACACACACACCCTCTCTCCCAACATTCCCAGACACTCCGCACACAGATCCAATTTCTCAGACAAGAGAACAGCTTTGTACTGTTCCCGTCTATCATCCTAAGCTTATTGCAACACAGAGCGGGGAAAGAAATACCTTTTACTGCAAACAAGAGAAGTTTCCTATATTTTCCTTAATGAGGTTAGTCCAGCGTAAGAAGGAAACCCTCTACCTCCAAATCCGGTGGAAGCATCACTGGGAACATTTGTGTGAATTATGGAAGTAGCTGTAGTTACAGTCAAAGAAATTAGCTTTCAGACCACCACCTACCCAAGGGCTCAGGCAAGATTCTAGCCATAACCATAAACAGATCTTTATTTTCTTCTTCATACAGTAATTGCTTGTAGCTCAAATCCAGAAGTAATCCCTGCCCCCAAAAGCTGATGGCTAGATATGCATCCATTTTACCTTGTGATTGCTTTGAATAAGTCAAAGTAAGACTCCTTGCAAATCCACCATAGAACAGAGGAGTTTGTGTTTAAAGGCATATTAGTGCTTGAGTAAAGCATTAGAGGGCAGAGCTTAGAGTCAGTTCCCTCCCTCTTTAATAAAGCTGACCTGCCTTTAGGGCAACCGGAAAAACTTCAATCCAGCATTTCACTTGTCTGAAAGGTGCCAACTCCATCACAATCTAACAGCGCTATTGCTGACAAACTTGTTACACAGGCCTGCCTGGAGCTCAGGTTCCCAAGCCAAAACAGGAGTCTGCCACTTCAGCTCTGAGCTGCTTGTACAGATAGCAGCAATACACATTCTTCATCTGCTCTTCTTTTTGAGCTCTCAGTCAAACTGCCTCCAGTACCAATTCTAGGACTGGTCTTTTACTTATGGCTTTTGAACCATCCCATCACTTCACAGGGATCACTGAGTGGCCAGGAAATGATAGCTATGTCAGTTCACCACTAAACCAGAACCTGGACGCATTTGAGTCTGTGGCTAGCTGTAGAATTTAAAAGAACTAGATCACCCTGGGGACCCCCACAGTACAGCCCCTTGAAATTCAGTTGGTTTCAAGGGAGTATCTAATATATCTGAATTTTTATTCCACATAACACCAAAATAAATTCCAAGTTTCTCACATCTGTGAATCATGCCATCATGGACAGACAGACAACCGCCTTCTACACTATTGCCCTTAGTGGGACCCTGGTCATTTGGGTTTTGTACAGTACAGCCAGGCTTTGTTCATCAACAGTGTCAGTTAAAACAAAGCTTCACTAATGCCATGTGCACACGAAATGCTCCAAGGGTAATGAGTCCCTGTCGCAAGCCCAGGGGTTTTCACTACACTTGATTTGAGCCATGAGCATATTCAGACCTGGGATATGTTGCTTCTCATTGATAGGTAGCACCTGACAATATCTCCCCATCCCAAGTTCCATGATACATATCCCATCCTGTCCTCTTCATGAAAATCAGCAGTCTGCCTGGAGATCAATCTTTGGCAGTCCAGAATACATCTCCCCACCAGCAGAGGGAAAGCTTAGCAGAGATGAATGAACACCACAGCCAGAGAAATGCTTACCTGTACCAGAGATGTAGTTTTACCTGCTACAGCAAAGGGCTATTTCAACTTCTGGGGAGCTGTTAAATATTAACCCTGACAGTTCAAGGGGAGATGGCTATATTGCTTCTTACAACATAGGCTGCTTTTCCACAGGTCTTATAAAAAATTAAGCTTAGATATAAAAAAGCTTTTGTTGACAATACCACAAGTCTCAGAAGGTAGCACTCACACTGTTACTGAATACACAGAGGACTGAAGATGTTTGCTTCAAGTTACAGGAAAGCCAGTCAACAGGTTTCCCACCTACCTTGTAACTCTCCACCCATCACAGCAAAAAGCTGCAAGGATTCCCTGTACAAGGTTCAGCAGTAGCTGCATTTCTTTATTGTCCATACTTCCTGAGAAGTTACTCCCTCTGGATTTAAGTGCAAAACATTGGTTATGAGAGGACCTAGGAGAAAAAAAATGAAACAATAACACAGGCTTGAAAAGCCTTTGAAGAAACACAAGGGAGGTTGTTAGTCCAGGGTACCATCGCGCCTCCACCTACAGCAAAACATTTCACTGTTGCTCAAACTGAGCCTAGGATCAAAGGAGATCTGTTGAACAATTACAGGCACTGAGAAAGGGATCAGCCAAGGTATTGCCATATTCCTGGGCAGCCCTCATCAGCTTCAGGCAATTCTGGAAAGGTGGGCTACAGGTCTGGGTATGCAGCAGGCAAACAGCAACTCTGTGCCCACAAGATCTCCAACAGGACATTCTTAAGGAACAAGTATCAGTCCTGAAGCACCGATACGCAGCATACATAGCAATGGCTTCATTTTAGCCTTCCTCTTTCAAGCCCTATGCACTTCAGGCATACTGCTTGGAAGAAGCTGTTTGTGTGCAATTACAAGGCTTTTTTTGTTGATAGGGTCCCGAAGGGAAATTCTGGAGGCAGCATTTTCCTTCAACCTCCTCCATGTAACATTACTGTGAAACCAAGAGCCACAAGGGATAGCAGGATTCTTACAAGCAGAGACAGACAGTTTTCTTTGCTTTTAAGGAACTGGGCTGGCAATTGTGGAGAACATGTCTGTAGTACTCTATGTTCAACTCTGTGCTTGGGGGAATATCCAAATCTCTGGCAAGCACATTAGCCAAAACCAGGCTTGCTATGCAACACACACAGCTTTTCACCTTCTTGGTCTAAGAAAAGAAAACCTAAAAAACCCCCAAAACCTATTGGAGTACTGGCTTTCACTTCCCTGGAGTATTATTTCATCATCCTCTACCGCCACTGCTGAAATCGGTTTGTTAGAGCTCAGGCAGCCAGGCTGGTGAGCTCTAACACGAGGTCAGATTGGGAAATGGGGATGTATTGTAACTCGTCAGGGGTGGCCTGGTGAAAACTGAGGCCAATAGCAGAGCTGTTCACTTATAAAGCTCTATAAGAAGTATGATTCCTGGGATACACAGGGCTCCCAGCCCACAGACAGGAAGATAGTAAGTGAAGACTGCACCTAACACAGGAGTTGGCAACCTCTCAAGGGCCACAGGCCAGATGCCAGCCTCCTTTTCCAAATGAGAGGTTTTGCATGTTTCTCTGGCAGTCCTACTGGCAATCCCAGGAGATGCTGCTTCTCTCATGGTGTAGAGACTCGGAGCCCAGCACTGCCGCTCTGTGTTCAGTGTGTCCAGCTACTAACATCAACACCCACACCAGAAGTTCTTCTATTCTTTAGTGCCATGAAAACAGGCCCTTTGCTTTTTTAAGCAAACTCCACCTGGGACCATCAAGTGAAGATAGTTATCTATTAGCTCTTTTCCATCTCCCAACAGTCCCTTTAATTCCACATCTACTTAACTACATCCTTAGTTACATCCTGGACAAATAAAAGGCAGATTGCCTTTCTGTTTGTTTGGTTTTTTGGTTTTTTTTTATAAACAAACTTTATCTCCATTAGATCTTAAGCTCCTGTATGTTGTGCGTGTCAGCTAGAGTCTGAACTATGCCAGTAAGTTATCTGCGTGCACCTTCTCCAGAGGGCTATGTATCAAATCTTGTTTACTTGCCTGTGCCCTGTGTGCTTTCCACTTTCCCACCGCTCTGAGCTAGGGAAGAGGCCATCACAAGCTGTGCTTTAAGGACAGAGCTGGTCTAGAAATTGATCAAGCTTCACTGTAGGACAAACTTGTCTTTCAGTGATGTCCAAAACATACCAAAAACCAGTATGTGACTGGAAGCCTGTGGAATAAGGAGCTGCTAAAGAAGCTGGGGGTGTGTGGACCTGTTCACAGTATTACTCGATGATGTAAGAACTGAGTGAGTTCTAACTGAGAGAGAAAAGGAATGACATTGCCTGCAGCATGAGACTGCTTCGTGGACATGCCTGTGGGTTAGCAAAGGCTTGGCTTGGAAATGTTAGGGTCTTGTTTTCCCCTGCCAGTTCAGTAGTCATCTTCAGAAGCACATGCTTTTAGGCTGGGAATCCAGAGGGGAAAGAAATTACAAGAGCAAACTCTGCACAGCTATTTGTCTTGCTTTCACCAAACAAAACCAATAGCCCCAAAACTCCCAAGCTTGCCTGAATTCTACACTCGCTGGCCATTTTCCAGCAAGTCCATTCCTCTCCGCACCAAACCTTCTCTCAAAAACACTGAACACACCCTGAGAGACAACTGCATTTATTGAGGCAAAGCCCCCACCTCTCTACTGCTGCACTTGCAAGAATGCCCACAGTTTTGTCACAGAGCAAAGACTCAGCAAACTGTGCCAGGAGGTAGGGAACAGCTTAGTGAGCCAACTGGTCTGTGTTCTCCATGCGCTGAAATGCCCCAGGAGAGAAAGAAACAGTGGCTTTCACCGTGGAACACTAGGAAACACCTCCTCAGTGTCCACATGGCAGAGTTGCAAAGAATGCAAAACTTGTTGGTTTTTATTAGTGCTGTTTTGTCTGCTTGGTATCCAGCCCCACCCAGCTAATGCCCCAGTAAAGAAACTGCTTTGAATCTATGTTGTGACAGCAGATGATATTTGTCCAAGATGGAATATTTCCCCCTCTCCCACATGGTAATGGGACCACAGGCAGGCTCCTCCAGCTGGCTCCCACGTACCACAGAAAGTCCTTGCCTGGAGCAATCATTGGGAGATGGGGTCTAAGTCCTCCAAATTTGGCTGTATTACAGCCTCTGATCACTGGAACTTGTTTTAGTTCTTTCTGTAAGCACAATGACTACTCAGCTATTGAGCATGTTCCCTATGCCCACAGCGATAGGTGTTAACATCTTTGTATTGAGTGAAGCAGACCAAGTCTTCCATCACACTTTTCTGCTTCTTGAACTCTTCAC